CGATATGTCTCCCCTTTAATATATCCACCCCTCCCCCCTTCTTCACATACACATATTTATGAAAAATAAATTATTTTTAGCAAAAATATTTGTGAATAGTCAAAATACGTAATTAACATTGATAATTTAAAGGAACATGTAAATTTAGATGATGGAGATGATATTATTGAATGAGGGTGTGCAAATTATTTTACTATATATTGAGATAATGAAATTATGCAATTTGTCAAAGAGAACCAGTTTTTTTTCTCTTTTTTCAGTAAAAATTGTAAAACCAATAAAAGTTTTCTTCTTTTCCTTTTATTCATTGACTTATATAGAAGCCAAATTTATATTTATCAATAGACTTTAAATATAATAATGAAAACTAAAGAAAATACATAAGTTGATAAAAATGTATCTTTCTACCTGGAAAATTAAAATATATAATGTACGAGGGCCGTTCGAAAATTACGTGGACTTGTTGCACAGAAATATTTGAGATGTTTTGCAAGAAATTATATTGCAGGAGTAAGGAGGGTTGCTGATTAAAATGTCAAAATTTCCAAGCATGAAACAGATGTGTCAACCGCTGTTGCACATGTATTTTTTTTCAAACGGACAAGGATATAACATGTCGACATAAGAATTGAAATAACTTATCTCAGAATGAATGATAGTCCTTAATTGGAAGTCCAGGATCACTACAATGTGACAGGAAAGAGAGAAGTCAATGTCTTTGTTTATAGAACAGGGATTTAACTAAAAAGAAGTATTTTTTGCTTAGATCTTTTGATTCATAATCTATTACATCAAGCTGCTTTTGCTGCACATGATGGTCTTGCTCGCGGTAATTGAATGGCTGGTAATGGGGTGTCAAATCAAAAATGTGTAAATTTCAAAAGTTCAAAAAAAATATTCATTTTTTTTTTTTTTTTTTGTGGTGGTGGTTGTTGTTTTTTAATCTCTGCTTCTTGTAAATCTTGAGATTAAAAAATTAAAATAATTGTAATTTAACGTATGTGCTTAAACTTTCTTTTTATTACCAGTACAGAAATACTTAAAGAAAATGAATAAAATTTCATATTGTACAACCGTTTACGGTAGCCTAGTGGTAAAGCGTTTGCTTCGTGATCGGGAGGCCCGGGTCCGATTCTCCTTCGCAGTGCCACGTCAAACCTAAGACTTAAAAATAGATAATTACTTTTCCTTTGCCAAGCGCACTGCATTTTATTACCGCGAGCAAGACCATCATGAGCAGCAAAAGCAGCTTGATGTAAAAGTCACGGGTCTTGCAGATATGACCTTAAAAACGGTAAACTCTGGCACGGTTAAGGACCCTCACTGTTTAATAGCCCTGAGTACCGAGTATAGGTCTTAATTTGAAGCCTTTCACCGGCATATGGTGACGTCTCCATATGATTGAAAAATTCTTGACAGGAACCTAAAAACAATATACAATCAATCAATCAATCAATCAAATTATACTGTTGATAAAGATGTGTCAATAAAGCAAAAAGAAAATAATATTGATTAATCAGCATCCTTAAGGTAGGTCGCGGTTTTACTGCATAAAAATTCTTACGAAAAAACATATCCTGAAAATTTAATATTATATAATGTTCCTTAGAATTTAAGCATATCTACAATTTTTATAAAATTTGCCTACGTAGTTTTAATGCAATATTACTTTAAACGCGATATTGTTGTTAGTACTTTTTTTAAGCTTTACTATTGAAATGTATGGAAAAAATGACCTTTTTAATCCAATTTTGTGAAAAAAAGTTTCTTTTAAAAAGGCTAGATAACTTTTACAAGACATAGGCGAATTAGTCAGGAATTTCAAAATGTCAAGATGAGGTGAAATCAAAACAATTGATATAAAAAAAATATATATGTTTTCTCGATATATTTTTTGGTTAATAATTTCAAAGTTTGCTTTTATATTGCTAAAATGTTGCCTTGATGGCGTTATTTATGTCTATAACGTCATTTGTTGATCGTAGTTCACGTTTACAGTACGAGTATAAATATCTTGACATTTTGAATAATAGAGATGTAAAAGGTGACATAAATGCAAATTTTAATTTTATTCATCATTTAACTAACTGCGGAGAGCTATTAGGAAGAGTAGCAACTTACTCTTTTCACTAGTATTGTGATCTCATATTCTGCTCACAAGTCAGAGTTAACCGTATAAACATTCCGCATGCATGAGAATTAACTTGCAGCGACAACAGCGCGAGTGATAAAATGTAAGTTTCTGTATTTTTAGGAAATTCATGGTCAACAGGATTTCAGGCATAACACATAAATTTGATCACTTTATTCGAAAATGATGACGATAAAACATCCAGATACTGGGGAAATTAAAGGGGGAGGGGGTAGTCTCAAGCTAGTATATGGGTCTAACTCTGAAGCATTTGTTAATTTCAAATTTCCATACGCAAAGCAGTTGCATTTAGCTTTCACACTTTGAGCTTTTGTTTTAATTGTTTATAGAAAAAAAAATATTTGTAATTTTTTTTACAGTGTCATATAGATCTTATGGTCAAGCTGTTTGTATACATTTGGTTTTGCAGTTCACAATTTATTATTTTCAACGAAAAAAAGGCGACACCAATAGATTTAAATACATAATAACCATATAATAAAAATGATGACGATAATAAGAAAATAAAACCCAGGAAAATACATGTTATTAAATGTAATCGCTTTTTTAATTTTGAGGATTGATTCCTTCCTGAAATAAAACGCATATTTTCGCCCCGGCTTTGATAGGCAGTTATGCTGCAATAAGCATCTTCCCCCAAATTGCAAAAAACGTGCGAAAATACAACCCCCCAAGTTTTTCGCTAAACATTTTTTTTTAATTTATGATAACTTTCTTTCTGCATACTATAACTTTTAAACTGACTTATTCTGATTGACTTTAGCAGTTTAATGACGCTTACAAAATAAATTATTCCTTTCATCTGGTATTGTATTTAATTTGTCCTAAGACATTACTTATAATTACATCAGAATTCAGACTATAATTTAATTATAAAACATATATGAGGTTTACGTACAATAACATGCACAATCTATTTGATTCGTACAGACTTGAAGTCATATCCAGAGATAAAATGGGAAACAGCGCAACGTTGCCTTTGTGACGTAACTGACATCATAATCAAATGTGCACAAAACAGCCGCTCGAATCGTCGAAATTGTGTACCAAAATTGATGACAAAAGCAAACCCACGACCTACCTTAATTTTTAAGAATGCTTATTTTGATAATTTGTTCGTTAACCTTATTAACCATGTATTGATTTTTATATTGCAAAAGAAGTATATTGTTAATATGTCATTTTTTGATTGATTGAATACTGTAAGACGTCCATCTCCGGAATATTTCACTGATATGGAGACGTCACCATTGTCGTTGAAGGGCTGCAAATTTAGGCCTATGCTCTGCACTTTTGGCCTTTGAGCAGGGAGGGATCTTTATCGTGCCACACCTGCTGTGACACGGGGTCTCGGTTTATACGGTGTCATCCGAAGGACCACCCCATTTAGTCGCCTTTTACGACAAGCAAGGGGGTACTGAGGGCCTATTCTAACCCGGATCCCCAAAGCTGTCATTTTTGCATTACTCATAATGATAGTTTCCACAAGGATAGGTATTTCAAAGTCAGACTGCTATTATTGATCTGGTACTATATTTTATTCTTTTATATATATATTATTCTATCTATCAAGCCAAAAATGAATATTGTATAAACTATATTATTTTGCTCCTCTAGAATTATCTTATGAATGAAAACACTAACCAAGCTGTTTTGGTAATTAGGGTACAGTGGGATTGCCAACATATCAAAACTTAAACCTCTGACCGACACCATCAACAAACGAAGTTGATATAGAATTATAGTGTATAAAGCTTTCATAAATAGATTTTGTTTGAGATATTATAACTGAAGCTCTTTCAATTTTGACCTTAAATCAGTATTCAGGGCTATAAATGTTGGTTTGTAGGGGGTTTTATAGTGCATCTGCGACTTATTGGACACGTTTGAACTAGGGTGTCGAAAAAGTGGGAATTGTCTTTTTATTAAATCAAATCACAGATTCTGTTGTTTCTTTTCCCCTATAATATTTTTTTCCTTACCGAATTTGTGCACACGATATCTCGAGGACACCTCAAAAGATTTTCATGAATTTTTCAGGAATGAAGGGCTATTAGTGGTACTATGTGTATAATATTAAATTTTCAGGATATGTATTTTTTTTTAAACTTTGCAATCGTCACATCTGGATGCGAGATAGGGCCAATTTGCTGCTTTGTAGTTTTATTTTGTCCGCCAGAGATGTCTAAAATGGTGAAAAATGAGTCCTGAAACTTTCAGGAATGATAAATTGTGACTCGTACAATTGAGACATAGTCTAAGAAAAATTTTGTATCCGTCACTTCCGTTGTGCACCGGAAGTAGAAAGAAAAAATATGCAAAATTTTATTTTTTCCTTCCCAAAATGTTTCTTATCATGGCAAATAGATTCATTTTATGTCAACATGAAGTTATTTCATCCTAGAGCATTTTTCCTAGAAATTATCAAAGATGATACTTCATACTAAGAAAGGAATAATAGGTCATTTTGAGTACTTTCGGTCTTAGTAGAAGTGAATAAAAAGACAGGAAGTTGTTTGAAATTGGTATATTTATCTGTGTTCTTGTGTATTCAGAATACAAATATGTATTTTATTTACACTTGAAACTTGTTTATTTAATTAAACGCCTATTTTTACATAAAACGTATTCAATGGCGTTGTACATTAAGAAAAAAAAATGTCTAAAATGGTGAAGTTGTTTTACTTTCTTTTATAAATCAAACTATTCGAAATGAATCAAGATCTTATCAGAAATCAAACGGAAAAACTACTCGTTGCTTGCAATGGGATCTCAACTAGTTATTTTTATTATTCAACACATTTTCTACAACATTTAAATGAATAAGTATACTAATTGGCTTAAATAGAATGCAGCAATGGTGGGTATGGTCAGGCCTGTGGACAGAGATGTGGAGCCTGTCTGGGATATAAACAATGTCACCACATCAATGGTTCTTGTCTAGAAGGATGTGACCCAGGATTTAAAGGAGATCTTTGTGAAACGGGTAACAATTTAACGACTTCAATCAAAGTTTTTAGGCAAGATTTTTTTTTCTTATCATCTATCATGTCATTTAACAATACGTTCACACTAAAGGAGTCTAATATGCATTAGAAAAATATTTTAGGTTGTTCATCCGGAAAGTTTGGTTTCAACTGTGAGCAGAATTGTAACGTAAACTGTGGTGTACCATATCAATGTAACAGAACAACAGGAGAATGTCAGGGAGGATGTCAACCAGGCTGGGAGGGAGCTCGATGTGAACAAGGTACAAAGATCTTCCTTCACAAATAGGCAATGGGTATAGTGCTTTTATTTTTTTCTGATGGTTTTCATGTATGAATAAAAAGTAGTCAAGTGTATTGTTTTTAGTTTGTAAGCAAAATAAGTACGGTGAAAACTGCTCTAATTCGTGTGGATTCTGTCAGGACTCAAACTGTCATCATGTAAATGGATCTTGTCCAGGAAAATGTTTGGATGGATATCAAGGAACTTTATGCAATGACAGTAATTCAAATTTCTTAATTAATGTAGAAAAAATAATTATGATCGCAAGAATTTAATCCTTTTAATGAAAGTGTTATCCTTTTGATGCATTACTTTAAAATGAGCAAAATTATTCATTTCATTGTTTTAAGACAGGAGTCAACATTTTTGATTTTTCAAAGTTAAAATGAACATGTATCCTTTAATGACAGTATGTGAGGCAGGATTTTATGGAGAGAATTGCAAGAAAAAATGCAGTCTTTTCTGCAAGTCATCACGTGACTGCAACCACGTGACTGGAAATTGTAATGAAGGATGTATTGGCGGATGGCAGGGTGCTATGTGTTTAAAAGGTTTATACTTTTTAATAGGATACTTAATGTTAACACAGCTTTGCAATAAAAAGATATTTTGCTATACATTAGAAAAAAATAAATTGATTTTCTTTATGCAGTTGCAGAGAAAAAGGATGATGTTGATTGCCAGTCAAGATTTTATGGTGTTCTTGCCGCTCTCTGTGTTTGTCTAATGACAAATGCCATTTTGGTTGCTTATATATGTATCTATAGGTGAGATGTCTCTGATAAATATTTGGGGCAAACATCTCTCTCTCTCTCCTTCTCTCTCTCTCTCTCTCTCTCTCTCTCTCTCTCTCTCTCTCTCTCTCTCTCTCTCTCTCTCTCTCTCTCTCTCTCTCTCTCTCTCTCTCTCTCTCTCTCTCTCTCTCTCTCTCTCTCTCTCTCTCTCTCTCTCTCTCTCTCTCTCTCTCTCTCTCTCTCTCTCTCTCTCTCTCTCTCTCTCTCTCTCTCTCTCTCTCTCTCTCTCTCTCTCTCTCTCTCTCTCTCTCTCTCTCTCTCTCTAACTAATGCCTCATACAGAAAAAAAATGACTGTATGTCAATTTTAAATAAAATGAAATTGATATTTTGTAATCCTTAGTTTCGTGTGAAAAAAGCAATTACTTTTTTGTATTTTGTACATCCTTGTAGATGGAAAGGGAAAGAAAAAACAAAGAACCTGGCGTATATTGAAGAAAATGAGACTAAGGCAGCATCATTTAACATGGACATTGTCTCCAGTAAAATTGACGAAGACGACAAGAACGGGTACCAAGAGCTGGGAGAACTGGCCCTACCTTCAGATTATGATCGGATCTGAACATCTTATACTCATACAATATTTCACAAAGTCATGTAATAAAAATTCACTCATAATATAAAGACATGCCATCACAAACATGTGGCTCTGACGTAAAAGCATATTTATAAGTATACTGTAGATGTAAGCTGATATCTTAAATGATTAGTTTTACTTCAGAGAGACAGATTCATGTTACCGTCTCAACTATATCATATACGACTAAGAAGTTCATAATTAATTTTAATTAAAAAAAATACATTGTACATTTTCATAAAAAAGGTCTTTATCTCATTTTATTCGTATTTTAAGTCAACTTTACACAAAAAATCCGGGTAGTTCCATAACAATGAACAATTTTATTAATTAGTTTAAACATATTTAAATTTAAAATGAAAGATATAAAGATAACGAACCGCATTCAAGATAAAAAATCAATAAAAAAAAAATACAAAATAGAATAGATCAGGAAAAAGGGAGAAAATCCGCTTGTCAATTTAGTGTTTAAATAATGGACGAAAAAACTGGAAGAGTTCATTTGTGAAGTTCACTGTTTCTCAACTGTCAACAAGGTATTTGACTTCCCGGCTAGACTATTATTATTATCATATCTCATATAAGTAATCACTACTAAAATAGAATCGGATTGGCTGAGGTAACATGACTGCTTTGATTTCCCTGTAACAATACGTCTTCTGTCCCAATGGAAATATCTTGTTTTACTTTCATATGAAATGAACAAATCCGGTAACGCAGACGAAAAAAGCCATGGAAATGTTTTAAAAGCCTGAAAGTGAGGATTTCATATTTTTATTGAACAAAAAGGATGATATTAAACCAAATAGAAAAAAAATCCAAATTTGATGGTATATTTCTCCAGCATTTTGATATTAATACTCCTAAGGCTTGCCAAGAAAGGTTTGGCTTACGATAACTCTGTACCCATGCAGAATAATACTCCATTTTTTTTTTAATATCAGAGATTATATTCTTTAGTACCATCTTATTCTGGCAAAAAAATTTGTACCGATTAATGAGCGGATCCATACTTAAGTGGTGGGTTTTCCTTCATTGTGGAATTTTAACAATACAAAAATAATTTTACTTTAAAAAAACTAACAATAATCGATCTTATTATGTTTTGTTGATCACATGGATAAGTGACACTATATTTTTGTCTACTCCTGTATTGTTTTATATATATTTAGAAATATTAGACATAAATCAAAGTAAACAAGAATATTTTATAAGTGTTCAAAAAGAAAAGAAAAAAGTGTCTCTTTTTTCATAATTCTCACATACACAAAAAGTGTCCATAAGATATTAACATCGTAATTTATTTGGTATCGTGTCATCATACATTAAACAAATACACATAATTATATGTAATAATTCGAAAAAATTCCAAAAACAATGTTTGCAATTGGCAATCCAGAAATTATATTTATAAACCGATAAATTTCAACCTGAATTGTATTTAAAAAAAAGAATTCCTGAGTGATCAGTAGGTGCCAGGATAACTCATTTATTTCCAACAGGGTCTTCAATTCAATAATAAGAATTGATACAATGCTAAATGCTTCCTTTTGCCTTGATTACAAGAGAGGAAAGAAGACTAAACTTGGAAATTAAGACCACAATCTTTTTAAAAATCCGATCCTTTACTCCGGTCACATAGATCGATACACAAGGATCAAACGATCTGATTTTAATCAGATTGTTAAGACTACAAACATCCACATTAAATTCTGATAAAACTCTGGAGGATACAAAGCGGTAGATATCAAAACCGATGCATAGTGAGTGTTTGTATAATTATTTGTTAAAAAGAAATTCTAAAGTTGGGCTAACATATCTGTAAAACAGAAGTCTCTTGACAATGTGAATGCATATATATTTGAATCATTTTTTTCCCTTATAAAATACACGATGTTTGTTTGCAGGTATGTTAAGGAAGCATATAAGTCATTTCTCGGGAAATTTAGACTTTTTAAAGAAAATTAAGTTTGATAAAATACCAAAAACCGCTGATAAAGATAAACTATTATTAACTATGGCAAACAGATAAACGAGTATCTAAGACATACACCACCACCACGGCATCAAGTGACTTCTTTTAATAGCGAAATTTCCCTTAAATTAATTAACACTACTGTAACTAAAAAGCACTGAGAATCCAACAAAACCCTGAGCAAGTACTGAGTGGTACTGAGCCCGGTACTGAGAAACTGGGGAGATCCTGAGTAGCACTGAGGTTTTCACTGTGCATTCTGTTGTGCTACAGAGGAGCACTGAGGTTAGCACTGTTGCTACTGTGGAAGTACTGAGGGGTACTGAGGTCATTCTGAGGCCACTGAGCTGGTACTGAGTAGCTCTGAGGTTTAATACTGTTGCTACTGAGGTAATCATGAGTGACACTGACGCTTTTTTTTTCAAAAACTTGCAATTTTTTATGAATTTTATTGTAATCTAATGTTTAAATTTCTTTATTCTTAAAACCTTTTCAAATCAAAATGTGTAAGTTCAAGTATCTTGAAACCCCCCGTCGACAATAAAACTGAAATTCGCCTCTTGTTCATTTAATTAATTAAATTATTTGCGTACTTTGTTTGGAATTTTCAAAAGGATTAAGTTTTCTATGCATATTTTATTAAGAAATTTGATATCTGATTTATTTGTCTTCGATATCAACCAATTAATGATAGAAATAAAAGTATTTTTGAATACAGTATAGTTTTTCAAAATTTATCCAACCAATGTTAAACATCATGATAAATAGTAGTTTCCGTCTAATAAATATCGATCCACACCTGAAAATTTATAGATTACGTATTTGTTGTGCAAATAAAGATGTCTTTAATGTTTAATTAACATATAATTTGAAAATGAACATGGGGATTACTGAAAATTTTAATATTTCTATGTGCTTTCATAATAAAATGGACACCGACAGCGGAAAATAATAGCGGTTTATTTTGCTTTAAGTCCGAGTTTTATTTCAAAGAAGTTTCATTGACTATTTATTTAGCACACGCGCACATGATTATAGAAAATCATCTGTAAAGATTGAATACTCATAAATTTAAACAAGAAAGTAGTTAGAATAATAAGGGGAGCTCTATGTTAAACCAGGAACCTATATACTAATATAGGTCCCTGGTTAAACACGTGGCGCTAAAATTTGATAACAGTCATGTAGTTACTGAGAATTATAATATAATATCTAATAATGCAATTGTCATTTTTTTTGGGGGGGGGGGGGGGCAGTTGTCTGTCAATCAGACTGATAGCAAGTTCACTTAAATCATAATTATGTTCATCGCTTAATTCACATGTACCAGGAATTTATCGTTGTCATATGTTTTCTTAAAGACATCAAATGCATTAAATGAAAATAAATTTGAACTCCGTTTAAAACAAATCTATCTTTTATTTATTTTTACTGGTTCTAATTACGATGCAGTATTTATTCGCTGTGATAAAGTCCTACTGCCGATCGGTTAGTGTACAGCAATAATAATTGTCACAAATGATTCAGTAGACTCCCTTCCTTTTTTAAAATATTGATACCCGTTTACAGGAAAATGAATTACTCAAATGAATTATGACTTTTATCTTCCTTTCATTTTGAAAAATAACTACTACCATTAGATTTATATATATATATATATATATATAAAAAACTTGATAAGCCATACTGTGAACTCTTTTTTTATTTTATTTATTAAGAAGAATTAATCGGAAACAATTATTTAGTAAATAATTGTGTACATGCAATGTATTTTTTAATTAATAGAAGACTTTTATTCAAACACAGCACCGTATTCATGAATATTAATATGAATATTGTACACAAACGGCAGCGCTTTGAAGTACTACACTGGCGCTGGTTGGTAACGGAACCTCTGTGAAGTACTACACAAATGGAAGCTCTGTGAATTGCGCAATGCAGTAGCGAGAAACAAGACAATAGGTGTCACTTCAATATATATACAGACGGGCACCTGTCGGATATCACTAGCAGTCAGTTACGCAATGTTGGACCCAACATGTAGACTCAGAGGACACCCTCAGATCAGCCGGGCCACTCTTTTTCATTCTTTCTCACACACTTTAAAGAAATCTAATTAAAAACACAGAAAATTAAATTTTTATTAGATTAAATTTGCGATGCATTTATAATTATTTTCTATATAATCCAACTGGGTTTCAAAACTATATTTATTTATTTTATTTTTGATACAACATGTATTTTTATCTCTACTAATCAGATCTGTTATAAACAAATATCTAAAATTACAGTGTTCGTAATTAATTAGACGTTTCTGTAAGCGATAGACATTATAATTCATTATCCCAAGACCCCTTTCAAAATAAAGAAATAAACCAAACTAATCAGAAAGAAAAACTAATTAAAAGATTTAATATGTTACCAAAAATGAAAAAAAAGAAAAAGAAAAGAGAAGTAGAAAAGGACACGAGGCTTGTATGTTCTTTTATAATTGCCTTTCATGTTATATCAAGTATACAGTATTAAGTGTTTGGAATTAATTTGTTGAAGGTACAAATTTCTCTTCAACAACCTTATACATGTATGTACGATGTACTCATAAATTTTTCAGAATTTAGAATTTATTTTCTCTCAATGCAATTCAGGAAAAGTCGCGTGATTCATGTTGTAAACAATCAGATGTCACCGTAAATTTCGGACATCAGGAACGAGCATCAAAATACTTTATTTTCAGTGATGGTTTGGTAAAGATTCTTAACCGGCGATAATTAACGGCATATCATTTTTTGTCACAGATACTAGTATTTGTTCTTGAACTAGTATGTAATATCAGTAAATGGACAGTTAACAGGGGCGGATACAGGATTTTGGGTTAGGGGGGGCGTGGATAATTATGTTGAGGCAGGGGGTCTGGGGGCCGCCGTAAGGCCCCCAGTGGGTCCAGGGCGAAGCCCTGGTTTGGGCCCCGGGGGCAAAGCCCCCGGAAGCTCCTGGGTTTTTATGAATTTTAAGAGCAAAACCAGGCGCAAAAATAGTATTATTAATGAGTTTTGTATACTATGATATATAGGTGGTAGTGGTTATTTTCAGACTATATTGAAATCATTTGAAGAGCTCCATACAAAGATACAAATAAAAAATGATCAAAGTTTGAAATTTAAGTGTATGGATTATTTTTTGTCAAATGATAGTTGACAGTGTAAGATAT